TACAAACATCCATGCCTTCGCCGGGATTCGAATCCAGGACAGTCAGAGTCACTAACCACTATCTCGACTGGGCGGCGCAAAACTTGTTACAATTACCTGTTTATTGGAAATACAGTGTTGATTCGATTGAAAATTTTTTAATTATCTGATGTCCAAGTTTACATTCCTTTAATTTTTAAAAAAAAACGAAACTGAATAACGCAAACAAAAATCTGTAAATGGAGCTAATTAGTGTGACATAAATCTTAGACAGAAATTTAAAAAATACAAATTTTATTAACTTTTATTCGTATTTATATATATATATGTGATGTACCAGCTTTTCTCAGGAATAAATAGATTGTTGAAAAATCATTAATGTAGTCGCAGCTTAAATTATCAGACGATAAGTTAAAAAAAACAGGATCCATTTATTATTGGTGAGGAGAAATAGCAGTTAGAAAATCAGATATCCGGAGTAAATAAAAAAGAACTACTAATAATATTTTGTATGAAGTTTACTGCATCGTGACATTTAAGAAAAAGCCCCGAAATTCTTTTGCGAGTCCTTTTATAGCCTCTGGAAAGGCGGAGCTTCCAAGAAATGACGTCAGTCCCGTCAGCCATTCCAGTTAGCTTAAAATATCTCCAGAACATGCTATAACTGTACGTGTAGAAAAGGCGGGAAAAACAACTTGACTACGGGCCTGTGGATTTAATTCCACGTACTTTCAAATAAGAGACCGTCGCCATTAAAAATGAAAAGAACATACAGATAGAATTTTAAGTGTATTCTTGACTATGGAATTTTATTATTACATATATATATATATTTGGGCTGACTATAGGTCAGACAAGCAGGCATTAGTCAACAACAACAACATCTATAATCCGTGATGAAGATAATTTCTAATAACTTCTCTTTAAGGGTATAAACTTTGTTAGAATCAAAAGCCATCGAGCGTCAAGCTGTAGTAAGAAATAAGAAAGTTTACAATTATTTATAAACAAACATATGTATTTTCATTTATATGACGATGAAATTTTAATTAATAAAAGAAAGAGACTAAGTTATTATTATTTATTCTTAAGTTTTGTCCCACTTGGCAAATTTTCTTTTAAAACTTGAATTAATTATCGATTTCATATTTTGTAACACTTCAACGAATTTTTGATTAAGAAACTCAACGATTTCAAAGCAAGCAATGGCTACACTGCATTAAAAAATATATATATATATATATATATTCCCAGCGCGCGAGACTGTGTATCGGAATTTCTAAAGATAGGCTCGTTTTAAAATTATTTTGCGATATCACTGTTGAATTTAATTTTATGGTTTAAATGCGAAGAACATGATATTTAATAAATAAAGGTATCGCATAAAATGTTTAAAAAAACGCCTCTTTGGACATAATTTAAAATCTGAAACCTATCAGATATTTTTCTTTTAGTTTAAATTAAAGTAAGTTATTTAATGAGTAATTAAACACGTTAGATTTATTTGAATGAAATGCAGTCTAAGAATTTATTTAGCTGTGAATATATTTCAAGTTTCCTAATTGTCTTATTAGTCTAAAAGGGTAATTTGCGCTGAAGGACTATTAATTTCGTTTTGGTATTTTACGTTGAAAACTATAAACGGCGAATAACTTTTCAAATTGTTGCCACCAAATATTATCATCTTGTGTTAATTTGAATTTAACAAACATTCTCTATTCGTAAAAAGCAGGTTTGGAGGCAACTTTCCCTTTATAAGTCTGTCTCCTGCCTGCTCAACAAACATTCACTTATGCATTTTTCTAAATAATTTTCTAGGATTAAATAATTTTTAGAATTTTATATTTATTCATAGATTTTGATACTTGCACTTGATTTACATATGCTCTCAGAATTTAAATGATATTGTAGATTAGTTCGCAACAATAATTAATCATTTATTTGTTTGCATTAAATTTCTTTTAAATTAACTTATTTTGCATTTTACGAATAGAGAATGTTTGTTAAATTCAAATTTCATTCCTTGCAGCAATGGCGCAAGATAATTATTTAAAATTAAATTAAACTTAACTTTATTCTTTTGAAGCAATCGTCTTGTGTTATATTTAAAGTATTTAAATAATGAAGAATCTACATAAATATATGTATGTTTCTCGCCTTGTGATAAAACAACGGTACCTAGAGCCATCAAAATTTGAATAACGTTATCTTCCATAAAATATGGGCATGGGGAAGCCCTAATTTGAATTTATTTTATTATCGATTTCATACTTTGTAACACTTCAACGAATTTTTGATTAAGAAATTCAACGATTTCAAAGCAAGCAATGGCAACACTGCATTAATATATATATATGTAATAATAAAATTCCATAGTCAAGAATATACTTAAAGTTCTAACTGTATGTTCTTTTGATTTTTTAATGGCGACGGTCTCTTATTTGAAAGTACGTGGAATTAAATTCACAGCCCCGTAGTCAAGTTGTTTTTCCCGCCTTTTTGTACATGAACAGTTATAGAATGTTCTGGAAATATTTAAAGCGAACTGGATTGGCTGACGAGACTGACGTCATTTCTTGGAAGTTCCGCCTTTCCAGAGGCTATAAAAGGACTCGCAAAAGGCTTTTTCTTAAATGCCATGATGCAGTAAACTTCATACAAAAAGTTATTAGTAATTCTTACTCTGGATATCTGATTTTGTAACTGCTATTTTCTCCTGAATAATAATAAATGGCACCTGTTTTTTTTTTTTTTTTTTTTACTTATCGTATGATAATTTAAGCTACGACTAAAGCTGGTACATTATATATATATATATATCCAGCATGCGAGACTCTGTATCGGAGTTTCTAAAGATAGGCTTATTTTAAAATTATTTTGCGATATGACTGTTGAATTGAATTTTATGGTTTAAATACGAAGAACATGATATTTAATAAATAAAGGTAACGCATAAAATGTTAAAAAAAAAAAAAAAACGCCCCTTTGGACGTAATTTAAAATCTGAAACCTATCAGATATTTTTCTTTTCTTTTAGTTTAAATTAAAGTAAGTTATTTAATGAGTAATTAAATATGTTAGAGTTATTTGAATGAAATGTTAGTCTAAGAATTTATCTAGCTGTGAATATATTTCAATTACAGAATATAAACGAAACAACAAAAATCTCGTACAAGTACCAAATTTTAGATTTCAGATACAAAATAAATATAATTTTGGATTGTTTTCCGTTGCGATATCATTATTATTATTTATGTATATTTTGATAAACATTTAGTGAGCGAAATTTGAAATTTGTTCAACACAGTTTTTATTTTGTTAATAAAAATTTTAATTTTATTGAAAAAAATTCAGGCCCGTCAACTGTTTTCATATATGAAAACAGTTGACGGGCCATCGTGCAAATGTGGCTTGCAGGCAACTTGAATTTGAGGCCACTACTTGAATTTGACCACAAATGGATTTGTAATAAACAAGTAATAAAAAATTTTTTTCTTAAAGTCAGTTCCTACTTAGGTCAACAAAGAAAAAATTAAAAAATACAAGAAAAAATTTTCAAATACAAAATTTTTTTTAATATGTGAAACAACTGTATTAACATCAAGTGTCATCCATTATACGTTTAAAAAATATATTTGAACTTGAGTGGATGAATAAAAAGTAGTTGATTAACGATTGAAAATTTGAACAAGATATAGGGAGAGTGTGAGCTAATAGAGGGAGTTTAAAAATATATATAATAACAAAAATTAAAAATCTGAAAGTGTTCAGATTCTATATCACTCCCAAAGGAGCTTTTCTGACGTTTTGTGTGCTACCTTTCATTTTATTGCTACATAAAATTCCTTATTTGCTATTAAGCAGACAATGTTTATTTTAATATATTTAAGAAACGAATGTATAACGTTTGTTTTATCACGGTGTGAAAAAAGAAAAAGAAAAAAAATCTGAAAACATTCAGATTTTATATTTTGACCAAAAGAGCGTTTTTTTAACGGTTTGTGTGTTGCCCTTAGTTATTAAATATCATGTTCTTCGCACTTAAAGCATAAAATTCAATTCAACAGTATTATCGCAAAATATTTAACAGAGCATATCTTTAGAATTTCCGATACACAGTCTCACGCGCTGGAGATTAAAACTTTTTTTTTCGTACAATGTTGCCATTGCTCGCTTTGAAATCGCTGAGTTTCTTACTAAAATACTCATAAATACTTTACAATACATGGAATAGGTAATAAAACAAATTCCGAATTTAGCTTCCATATGCCCAGATTCGGTTGGAGACGTACGCTATTCAAAATTGGATGGCTCTAGGTACCGTTGTTTTATCACAGTGCGAGAAACATACATACATTTATACAGATGCTTCATTATATAATTTCTTTAAATATAACACAGAGGCGATAATATTTGGTGGCAACAATATGGAAAGTGAAACGCACATTTAAAAAGTTTCAACGCAAAATGCCGAAACGAAATGAATAGCCCTTCTGGGCAAACGCCCTTTGGGTAATAATAACTATTTTGTCTTTTTTAAAGAAATCTAAGGAAATGGCAAATAATTATTGGTTATGTAATTTGAGAATACCTATTAACGTAAAGTCTTAAACATCTTAATTAATAAAATAGTAACCGAAACGATAAAGTTTATGTCTTGAAATATCACATAAGATACGTAAAACGCTTATTCGAAAATATTTATAAATATTTCACATTTATTCAAAGAAATATCTTTGTTTACTTTTAGTTATATAGAAACAACCTGTAAACAGCAGCTTGCGTCATTACATCTCCCGTTTGGCGAGAAAGGATGCAAAATGTTGTAACCCTGGAAACGGACGAGTTTATGGTTCGTCTGCTCTCATCGAAAGCGGTGGGTGAATGGGTCTCCTTCGGATGCTAGAATTTTTTAAACAACCCCCACATATTGTCGTTATCCCGTCAACATCCACGGAAATGTAAATGAAACAGAAATCAGTTCTTGGAGCGAGCATTTTTAATTCGCAGGTAAGTACCCGTTTGGCTTCTTAAATCAGGAGCAAAAGATTCGTTCCGGATGTCAAATTCGTCTGCAGTATAGGTGTGGGATGCTATGTCCGCGTTGTTCGAAATGGAAGATTCTGGTCATAGCTAATGTATATTGTGTACCTGAACCTTTGAATTGGACGCAACTAGTACGTGTGCTTGAGTTCTGATACGGTCAAGTTCTTCTGCATTTACTGCATGGTCTGTACGTGGATTGCAGTCCTCAGTGGAATAGGATTTAAATTGCCGGAAAATCAAGTGAGGCTACCTGTGGCTGATCCATTTCATGTGCCGAGTTTTTCTAGAACAGATGATGACGCAGTAATTCTGTTTTTCCACCAGTGGTATGTTATGTATTCAATTATTCTACCAAAACTGGATGTTTATTAATGTAGAATGTCGTGTTAGTTAAGGAAAGAACGCAGCCAAATTTGTCATTTTGTCTGGAGTAATTTTAACTTTAACCGCGAAGTACCGTATGATATCGTTGCTAATTTACAAAACCTACCATCCTTAGAGCGAGCGAGGTTATAAAATGTTGAATAAATCTTGACAAAAATGCAATAAAAAGATGAGATTTAGAGCCATTTAAGCAACAATTTAAGGAATAATAACGTTGCCATCATGCAGCTGTATTACGAGGATAAAATCGAATCGAGTGGTTATGTTATTCATCTGCTTCGATTTTGTGTAGCTTAATCGATTATTTCCGATTACTGCTTCTCCCCCCTTACCACGAAACAAGTAACAACAAAATTACAAAGAATAATGCATCCTGGCGTCGTTCTTTTTAATTTGGATTTTAAAAAGCTTTTATTTTATTACAGTTTTTTTAGAGATTTATTTTCAAACCGAAAACATCTACAGTTTAGCGTTTAATATTATTACTACTGCAATGATAAAAATTATTTTGAATTTTTTATTAGCTTTCATTTAGTAATTTAAACTGGAAGTGTTGCAAAGACCCGGTAGCTGTTGCTTGTTCTGTTATATCACTAACCTGGGTATAACATGCACTGATCCAAGGGTTTTATAAATCATAATGCATTTATAATATTTTAATACGGTGAATTAGCTTATATTAATACAGATATGCATTTTCTACATGAGGAAACATTTAAAAATTATGTTGCTGGTATCATCACGATCTCTCATTTAATCTTATGATTTTTTTATTGGCATATAATAAGAAATATCATATAAATGTAAATCATCTTAACAAAAAGAATCTAAAAGGTTTCAGATTTTATATTACGCCCCAAAGTGTTTTTTTAACGTTTTGTGTGTTATTTTTATTTATTAAATATCATGTTCTTCGCACTTAAACCATGAAATTCAGTTCAACAGCAATATCAGGAAATATTTAAAAAACAGCATATTTTTAGAATTTCCAATACACAGTATCGCGCGCTGGAGATAATTTTTTTTTTTTTTCTCGTTCTTTGTGTTGCCATTGCTCGTACTGAAATTGCTTAGTTTCTTAAACAAAAACTCAAACGCTTTACAAAATATGAAATAGGTAATAAAGCTTTTTCCAAATTCGGACTTCCAGATTCCCATAATCGGGTGGAGACGTACGTTATTCAAAATTGCATGGATCTAGGTACCGTTGTTTTATTACAGTGCGAGAAACATACATACATTTATGCAGATTCTTCATTATTTAATTTTTTAAAATTCAATGCAGGGCCTTAATATTTGGTGTCAACAATTTGAAAAGTGAAAGGTAACAAAATGCCAAAACGAAATTAATAACTCTTCTGGGCAAATGCCTTTAGGACTAATGAATGGTCTATAGAGAAATGTTAATTTTGGAAAGGCACGTAACATCTAAATGCAAATAAGATTGTTTTATTAATTTCTCAGTTTACGTTCGTGTTCAAAGGCGAAGCAGTGTATAATATTCCACCATATAAGATCCTTCGTTTATATTCCAGAGTATAATTGCTACACTCTGTACTTGTTGCTTATCTCACAACTTACTGTTCTGTATCTAATGTCCGAAAAATAATTATTACTTCGATGGTGACAGGGCTCCCTCCCAGGCGCCTGTAGAAACGAACTTTTAATTTGAAGGCATGAGTATAACAGCATATTGTTGATAAGCGCGGCAAAGTGAAGCACGTAAAAACAGTACTAGTTTCTAAATAATTATTTTGAATTTTTTATACCGACAAATTATACTAATATTTACACTATTAACATGCAATTCAATTCCTGATTACCCGCACCCGTCTAAAAACATGTTAAAATATGTCTACCCGTTAAAAATATCACCAAAATATATATACAGTGGCTCACAAAAGTGTTCGCACACTTACAAGTTTCAGTGAAATATTGCTTAATTCGTTAATAAAAATTAATCTTTTAGAATGAATGTTTTTAAATAATATCTAGAAATTTCTTTTAATAAATCTACATTAATTATTTTATGAACATATTAAAACTTCTTTTGGAAAATCAATAATAAAAAAGGCAGCAGAAAAGTTATCTCACAAATGTCTTCGTACGCTTTAAAGAAATTTGTGGATATTAGTAAATATTGTAATATTTCTGTCAGTTATTATTTTGTAGTGTATACAGTATTTATGACTTTCACACGTCTGGGCACAGCTCGTGTGAATAAAGTTGGTCGAGTTTGTATGAATGTGAAATAGTTCCACACAATTGGCTTGGAGAAATGGTTCAATCTCGTAGCCCTCCCAGAGTGTAAAATCACGTGGTTTTATTTTGTGGCGAATATTTCGAAGTATACGTATAGCAAATGACCTATATCACAGAATTCTAGATACAAAAGATCTTATGGGTACACCACATGACTTCCTTGTACGGAATATTAAATTATTCGCATTTTTCCTGCATTCCACTTAACCCCTTTCCGACACGCTACCTCTTAAAGTCGGAATTTTCATAATAAATAAATAAATAAATAAATAAATAAAGTAGGCAGTCCAATGAGGCCTAGAGGAGTACACAAGTAAAATTTTGGGAAGATAGCACTTATGGTTTTAATTCTGTGGGTGTGCCCAAAGTGGCACACTGATTGAATAGAGCTTCGAAAAAGAGTACTGAAACGAGCATTGTTGTCAATGGACTGACCGATGAGGTACGGAGAAACCAAAGAATACAGACTCTCAGTTGTCCTAGACTGAGCACACCTAGGGTTCGCCGTTTGATTTTAGGCAAGATTTCAAGGTAAAAATTCGAAACTAATATAGAATAAAGAGATTAGCATACAGCCAAAAAATAATAGAAATTTCTTTTCAAACAATTCCTTTTATACCCAAAAAAAAAAAAAAAAAACGGGAGATTTTTTGAAAAATGAGGGTCTTAAAAACTAAACATGGCTAAAATATATGAACTGGTTTGTGTTGAGCTGCCATCTACAATAAAGAATGTTCAGAGTAACCTATAGTAACCAAAAAATCCTGTTCCATTCAATTTTTCTGTGCGTACAGAAGGAAAAATTTAGGTGTGTGCCGCAAAGGGTTAAACTTATTTCCTCAAATTTCATTACAGATATATTTCTCATTAAATTAACTCAGTTCTTACTTCGTGGCACTGCAAAAATACATAAAATTTTTATTAAAAATTAATCTTTATTAAAAACTGAAAAATACAAAAACACCAACTACATTTAAAACAATTTTAAAAAATTATATTTAAAATTAGAGTTTCTTCGCAAAAACAAGCAATCGACCAGCGGGCAAGAAGGCACAAAACTGAAAGTTTCCTTTTGGTGCCACGCCGCAAAAAGAGGTGCAGAAACTGACTTAATTCACTATTCTGCTAAGTTTCAAATGTAAACAAATATGACTGTGATGGTAAAAAAAAATTAGGCTTAGCCGCACTTAAACAAGTTTTAAATTATTGATAATTCTGCAACTATTTCATGTAGATTAACTAAAGGCATAAAAACCTTAACCGGAAGATACGAACACCATAATTCAATCATTTTTAAAGCAAAAATTTACACATCTTAACAACATATAAGAATAAAAACTGATCTTGCGGAGATGAGCAACAGGTTGGGTACATATATATATGTTTATATAGTTTTGATGAGACTGACTGCAACCAAAAAGGGAGGTGCACAACTACGTGTTGTAGCAGCCCTGTATACAAAATTTCAACGATCTGAAGCTACTCATTTTTGATTTATGCGAGATGCATAGATACGTACGTACGTACGTACGTAAAGACGTCACGAAAAAAAACCTCTTCTGAATCCATTTTAAATCAATTTCATAATCGGTTTGGAGAAAAAGAGTCCTTTATTCTGTCCTTATGTAGAGATGTCACGCAAAAACATCGTTAAATTGCATTCGATAGCGTCAAAATGGATATTTTCGTTGAAATATGATATCCGGAATGTTCGTGATTACAATACTTCCTTTACTTCGTACAAGGAAATAAAAAATCAGACAGTATTGACTGTTTCGCAATCAGTAGTGTTAGATAATTTTGATTTCGTAACGAATTTTTGGATTCTGAGATTCAAGTTGAAAATCAGTTAAATGTACGGTAAGCAACAAAATGCCTTACAGATTGATGTTTTATAATGATACAATAAAGCATTTTTTTATCATTACTGTATTCCAATAGCATCCGACTTCCGTATCTTCGACTAACAACGGCCGAGCGGTGTTGTGTGTTGTTACTTGTGCTCACTTGTCTGACAGTAACATCAGCCCAAGTCCACGGAATTCCTCGTGGCAAGGAGCGGAAGTTACGCCTGTCGTTGGCAACAGCCTTGAGCACCATACAGGTGACAGTGCGAATTAGCTCAGTTCCGCCCCGGGGAACGGGCCCAGGGTCTCTCACCCCTCTCCCACCAAATGAGACCAAATAATACGAATAAACAACGCTTCTTCCAGTCCACCAAATAACACGAGAGGACTTTTGGGTCGCCGCATATTTAGACTGCCGTTATGCTGCGCCGACACTAGAATACATTTACAAACATCCATGCCTTCTTCGGGATGCGAACCCAGGCCTTTCGGCACGGCAGTCAGCGACGCTAATCACTATATACTGTCGCTATTTTATATTCGGTTGAGTACTGTCGCTATTTTATATGTAGGAGCTCGTATGACATAGTCCGTATATAGGTATGTTTAGCACTCTTTAGCATTAATTTGTATTCACTCCAGAAGATATTTCGCGCACTTTACTATTGAAATACACTTACTGAAATGTACTGTTTATACTATTGAAATGTAATAATTAATCTTTCAGTAATCTTCTAACTGGTATTTGTATGGTAATTATAGTGTATTATATAATTTGTATATAGTATTTTGAATGCCATTATGTTTACTGTGCCCTTGAATGTATTTACTCT